TAGGCAGTAATCTCTTCAACATCGGCTACAGCAACCTCTTTCAAGATATATCTCCAAATGCTAGTGAAGCAAAAGCAAAAATGAACTTTTGGGACTTCATAAGATATTTTCATTATTTTTTGAAAATATATTCATTGACAATATCAAGCAAATATTATTAAACTCTCTGCTTTTCTGTTATTTCATCAAATTGTTTAACATAAAGTCAGGTATGGCTAATTCAGTGCTGTTAATAACGACATCCTCAAATGTATATCTCTGAAATGTGATAAAATGTCAAGAATGCTAAGCAATTACCATGTTGAGCCATCCATTTAATATCTAAAATATTAGAGATAATGTTATGAAACAAAATTTTAAAGCATTAAAGCAGAAACATGCTACATTATTTGATGCTTCTTGTGTTCCATGGATGTTTATGTCCTATTTTACATCAAAATACATGTAAATTGAAATTTATTTTATAATACATTTTTTCTTTGAGAAAATTAGTGTTGAATTATACAAGGTTTAAATTATGCAAGTCTTTAGGAATACACCCTTCCTGAAGCATCCTCTAAATCCAAGCTCTAAAACATGAAGAGTTGTATATTTGTTCAGATTTTAGAATATTTTAAAATACATTTCCCAGTGACCAAAACTCTTTCTGTGGAACATGGAGCGATTGAATAACAAATAGAAAAAAAGTTGACCTCCCTCTTTAGCTTTGACTTTGATATTTTGTTTCTGAGAGACCTGTTTGTTAGAAGATAAATTCCCTAACGTCTAAACTAGCCTTTCAACAGAGTAGTTTTTGTGGATGAAAGAGTGAACCCATACCATGGATTTGGTTAACTTTAGACAGCCAGGTTCTCAGCTCCCTGGTACAAGTATGGTATTATTTCTTTCTTTCTCTGATTGTTTCCCAGAAGATTAATCAAGTGTGTCTTAATGTACTACTGGACCTACAGGTTACTAAAATGTGAACTAAGGCACCAGCCTTGTATAATTTACTTTGCTGTAAGAAGCATGCCAATGAGACTTAAGTGCCAGGATTGCAGCCATACTTTCTGATCTTCATCCATAGAGAATCTGGACCACAAGGATTACATTTCTATGGGATAATATTCTCTAGGAACAAAAATTTTAAGACATAAGTAATCAAGTGAAAAAATTAAATAGAAAATTCCTTTATAAGTTCATTGAACATTATACTTTAATATATTTGTATGACAATGGAGTAAGTTTAAGGAAAATTATTGATTTATTTAAAAATCAACATTTTTTGTTTATCCTATTCTTGAAAACTAAATGGAGCTTGTCTGTTTTGATGTGCATATTTTAAAATGTAAATAGTATCATACATGCATCATTTTGTAATTTTCTTCTTTGACATATTGTAGATACATTAATCCCTTACCAGATACATGATTTGCAATTTTTTCTCCATTCTTTCGGTTGTCTTTTCACTTTCTTGATGGTGTCCTTTAAGTAACAAAATTAATTTTGATGATGTACAATTTTCTTTTGTTGCTTGTGATTTGGGTGTCCTATCTAAGAATTTTTTTTGCCAAATTCAAAGTCATTAATGTTTGTCCCTGTGTTTTCTTTCTAAGACAAAATTCTAAGAATTTTATAGTTTTTGCTCTTACATTTATGTCTTTGATCCATTTTCAGTTAATTTTTCTATGTGATTTAATGGTCCAACTCCATTTTTTAGTATATGACTATCTATCTAGTAGTCCTAACATTATTTGTTCAATTAACCATTCTTTCCCTATTGCATGGCTTTGACATTCTTGTCAAAAATCTGTTGCTCATAGGGCTTATTTCTGAGCTTTCAATTATATTCCATTGATCTCTATGTCCATTGTTGTACCAGCACCACACTGTCTCAATTACCATTGCTTTTTAGGAAGTTTTGAAATCCCTAAGTGTGAGTCCTCCTTCTTCATTCTCTTCCCTTCACCCCCCCGCGCCCCCCTCCCTGGATCATTTTGGCTGTTCTGGGTCTCTTACAATTCCATATGAATTTTAGAATTAGCATGTCAATTTGTATTAAAAAAGTCAGCTGGGATCTGATAGAGATTGCATTGAATCTTAAACTAATTTGGAGGAGTATTGCCATCTTAAACAATTTTTTTTAAATATTGTTTGTAGCTTCCATAACATAAGGTTTACCTTTCTTTTGTTAACTTTATTCCTAAATATCTGATTCCTTTTGATGCCATTGTGAATGGAATTTTTTTGATTTTTTTTTGGATTGTTAATTATTAAGGATAGAAACACAGCTGATTTTTGCATGTTAATTTCATATACTGCAGCTTTGCTGAATCCATTTGTTAGTTCTCATAGGGTTTGTGTATATGTAATCTTTAGTGTTTTCTACATATAAGATCCTGTCCTCTGTAAAGAGAGATAATTTTACTTCCTTTCCAGTTTTGATGCCTTTTAGTTCTTTTTCTTGTCTGATTGCTCTCACTAGAACTTTTAGTACTGCACTGAATAGAAGTGGTGAAGATGGGTATTCTTGTTTTGTTCATGATCTTCAAGGAAAAGCTTTTAGTCTTTCATCATTAAGTATAATATTAGCTTTGGGTTCTCATATATGGGCTTCATTATGCTGAGGTACTTTCCTTCTATTCCTAGTTCTTGAGTATTTTTATCATGAAAGGGTGCTGAATTTTTTCAAATGCTTTTTCTGCATCATTTGACATAATCATGTGGGGTTTTTTCCTTCATTCTGTCAATGTGACATATTAGATTGATCAATTTTCATTTGTTGAACCATGACCATCCCACTTGGTCATGGCGTATAATCCTTTTAATATGCTGCTAAATTCAATTTGCTAGTATTTTGTTGAGGATTTTAATGTTTAGATTCATAAGAGATATTGATCTGTAATTTTCTTGTGATGCCTTTGGTTTTAGTTTCATAGTAATACTGGGCTCATAAAGTAATTTGAGAAGTGTTCTCTTTTCTTCAATTTTTTGGAAGCATTTGTGAAGTAATGTTTTTAATTATTTGAATGTTTGGCAGAATTCAGCAGTGAGGCTGTCTGGGCCTGGACTTTTCTTTGTGGGTTGCTTTTGATTACTGATTTAATCCTTTCACTTGTAATAGTTCTATTCAGATTATCTATTTCTTCCTGGGTCAGTTTCAGTAGTTTGTTTCTTTCTAGGATTTAGCAGTTCTAGTGGATGTGTAGTGATATTTCATTGTGGTTTTAACTGGCATTTTTATGACTAATGATGATGAACATCTTTACATATGTTTATTGACTATATCTTTTGTAAAGTGTTTGTTCAAATTTTTGAACATAGGTGGTTTGGCTTCTTATTAAGTTGTGAGATTTCCTTACATATTCTGGATAAGAGTTTTGTCAGATATATATTTTAGGTTTAGTGTTTACTCTTACGTCTGTGATCCATTTTATATTAATTTTTGTGTACAGTGTGCAGTAAGAGTTGAAGTTCATCTTCTTTTATGATAATCAACTTTCATTGAAAATCTGTTCTTTCTCCATTGAACTAACTTAACAACTTGGTCAAAAATCAATTGCTTTTATAAATGTGTGTCTTTTTCGGAGATGTCCAAATTTTGATAATTATGTTATTTGGTGCATTTGCATTTACAGTTGTATTTTCCTGCTGTATTGATCTTTTTCTCAATAAGAAATGTTTCTCTTTGGGTCTAGGAGTTCTCCTTTTTAAAGGTTTGTTTTTTCTAATATTAATACAATCTCTCTTTTTTATGCTTCTGTCTTTATGGCATATCTTTTCACAGCCTTTTACTTACTTTTACTTTTATTTGCATTTTTATATTTAAAGTACATTTCTATACATTGCTGTAGACAATGTATAGTTAGGTCCTGCTATTCTTCAGTCAGATAATCTCATTTATATTGGGGTATTTAATACATTTATATTTAATGTAATTATTGATATATTTGATTTTATTGTCTGCCATTTTACTATTTGTCTTCTCTTTGTCTAATTTCTGTTTTCTTGTTCTGTTCTGCTGTCTTTTATGTTAAGCAATATTTTTTGTGTACTATTTTTATTCTCTGAGTTTATTAGCTTTATTTCTTTGCATTACTTTTATTGATTGCTCTAGGGACCACAATATGCAACTTTAACTTCCAGTACAACATATGAATCTTGCAAAAATATAGCTCCATTTACCCACTCTAATCCTTTGCACAAATCAATACCTATATTATAATATATATAAATGTAAAAAATATTGTTATAATTTCACTTAAAGAGTCCTGTCTTTTGAAGAAATTAAGAGAACCCATATGTAGAAAGATATATGGATATCTCATAGATGTATCTATAATCTCTTTTTCTGTATATGCAAGTTATCATCTGGTGTCATTTTATTTCAGCATGAAGTGTTTCCTTTAGCATTCCTTGAATGCAGACATATTAGCAATGAATTCTCTCATTTTTTATTTATTTGAAAATGTCTTTGAACCTTTAATTCTGAAGAATAGTTTTAGATAGCCTTCTTGGAAGACAGATTTTTTCCCTCAACAATTTGAATGTTATTCCAGTATTGTATAGCTTCCATTGTCCTCATGAGAAGATAACTGTTAATCATATTTTTGTTCTCCTTTATGTATTTCTTTATTGTAGTCAAGATTTTTCTGATTATCTTTAGCTTGTCGTAGTTTGATTATGATGCACCTAAATGCAGTTTTCTCTTCTTTATTCTATTTGTAGTTCACTGAGCTTCTTGTATCAGTGACTTAATATTTTTCACCCAAGTTGGGAAGTTTTTTAATCACTAATATTTGTCTGCCTCTTTCTCTACTTGTTTGACTCCAGTTACTGTTACGAGTTATGAAAGCTGTTTCTGACACAATAGTTTAAATCTTGATTGGATGCTTGGAAATAAAATGGAAGAATGAATGAAATGCCTTAAATATATACACACACACAGCGCAGTAAATTTACGGTAGAAAATATTAATTTTTCCTGTCCTCTTTTCCTGTTTTTACAAAATCTATTCGTAGGTGCATTTCCTCCATCTGCTGTTTTTGCACGGAAAGACTTGCTACAACGATCTACCCATATTGCTACCAAGACTTTCCAAGCTTTTCGAATATTTGTGAACAATGAACTCAATGAACTTTACACAGGACTGAAGACAGCTCAGAAGTTTCTGAGACCTGGTGGCCGCCTTGTTACCCTCTCCTTCCATTCATTAGAGGATCGCATTGTCAAACGATTCCTGCTTGGGATAAGCATGACAGAAAGGTTTAACCTAAGTGCTAGACAGAAAGTGAAACAAGGATCGCAACTGGGTTCAGGTCATGAAAACAAGGAAGGAGGCTCTATAGGCAGGGCCCCTTTAATGTGGGAACTGATACACAAAAAAGTACTTACTCCAGAAGATCAGGATGTACAGGATAACCCCAGAGCACGCTCAGCCAAGCTTAGAGCAGCCATCAAATTATGAGAAAGAAAGTTTTCATCATTTGATCCTTCAAGTTTTCCCTTCACAGTTTGTCTTTTTTTTCATGTGATATTACTTGATCAACTTAATATAAGAAAGTATGAGATATATCTATCTATCTAAAGAGATGTACTATATATGTGTGGAAATTGAGGGTATTTACCATTTTTTTCCTCAGAAAGAAAATGTCAGAAATATTAGCATGACACAGAAAGTTCAAGGAGCAGCAGCATCTCAAAACTGGAAAAATGTGTTTATCTGAGCATTATATTTAACTTCTGAAATGCAGTCCTTTCTCTAATCAGGAAATCTTTTAAAAAGAAGAAGAGTACTATGTGTATTTATCTAAATATGTAAGCTCAAGCTGTCAAAAGAGAGAGATTATAATTGTATCTGCATGCTCTAAATTCTGAATTTAGATATTCAAATTTGCAACAGCTTTCTGTGGATCAAATAATTAATGATCATGGAAGAAATTTTAATTTCTATTTGGGAATAATTTAGTAGTACTATAGTCTTCTTAAATATAAGTATTATGCAAATTTTAAATTTTCAAGTATTTTTAAAATGCATCATACTGTTAAATGTCACTTTTGAAATTATAGTGTTCATTGTTTCAAAGGGATTTTATAATATGATATATGCCATTTTATCACATTGCAAAGTAAAAATGTAGAATTGCTCTAATAGCTATCATAGAGAATGTTTCATGAAACTTATATTTAATAAGTAAATTATGTTTATTTTAATAATATCCCAGAATGCCTTTGATGCATAATAAAATCTGTCATCATTTGAATCCTGCATTTTTTAATTGAGCTATTCAAAATAATTCAACCAAGTCTATTTGAAATAGAAAAGTATATGAAAAAGATATTAAAATGATTGTGCCCCTAATGTTTTTACCTATCCAAAAGTAACTATAATAGTAAAATGTTTATTTAGGAGACATTCGCTTGGTAAAGGATTCTTTAACATATTGAGATTGATTCATGATTCACATATCAACTTTTTATATGTAAATATACATTTCTAATTTTTTCAGTTATTCAGCAAGTACTAACTAGGCAGAGAAACAAAGGTGAATAAAATACACATACCTTACAGTACTTGTCCTATGGAGTTTAAGTCTAGTGAAGAAGAGTAATGGTAGTTAAATAATCACAAAAATTAATATAAAATTAACGCAGTGGTAAAAGCTACAAAGAAGCAATACTGGGTACTGCAAGAACATCTAGTAGGGATTTCACTTACTGAAGGAAAATGGGTCTGACCTTGTGATGCTTGAATTATGACTTGAAGGATGAATAAGAGATATAATTAGTCAAAGGGTACATTGCCATGTTGATAAAAGGTACATATAAATGATGGCTTTCTTAAGTGATTATCCCTAAAATCATATTTATACTATTAATATGCTTAGTAAACTATTCAAATATAGGAAAAATTCATCTTCTCAATCATGTTGACAGATGCTGAATTGGTGAGTACAAGTGAATAAAATATCAACATAAGTATTGGCAAAGGATAAGAATGAAATACTCGAATTCACTGTAGATTTACTTTATCTATCTCTGTAATATTTAAGTTCTCAAGCTTGTTTGCCACTTTATAGGTTTTATTCAAATCTGGGCAATTATGCAGTGGAATTAATTTCTAATTGTGCAGAATTAGAAAATATTGTAGGGAGCAGTGTCCTCAAATTAGAAAAAAATGAATGTACCTACCTTGTTCCTCTGAATCTTTCCTGAAAAAATGTTTGTTTCTCTTGCATATAAGTCATAATTGTGAATGAGAAAGATTCCCAAAGGTACGTTCCCATCCAAGTATCTGGTTAGAAAATAAGAGATCACACTGTTATATTCAACAATGATTTACCTATTTCATCTGTCATTTTTGGATCCTGTATAGTATGGGGATTTTTTCTTTAATGTTAAATGGAAAGTGACTGCACCAGGTTGAATAGTATTTCCCCCCAAAAAATTCATGTCCTTCTCAGAAGGACATATGATCACTACAGATGTAGGTAGTTCAGCTGAAGTCATACCGGAGCAAAGCAGGCCCTTAATCCAATATGTGTGGTGACCTTATAAGAAGAGAAGAGAGGGCCGCCTGGGTGGCTCAGTCAGCTAAGCATCTGCCTTCGGCTCAGAACATGATCCTGGAGTCCCAGAATCGAGCCTCGTGTTGGGCTCCCCGCTCAGCAGGGAGTCTGCTTCTCCCTGGCCCTCCTCCCTCTCATGCTCTCTCTCTTTCTCTCTCTCTCAAATAAATAAATAAAATCTTTAAAAAAGAAGAAGAGAAGAGAAACAGAGATGCAGGGAAGAATGGCACATGAAGATAAAAGCAGACATTAGAATGATACATCATACAAGCCAGGGGACACCAGGGATTGCTGGCAACCATTAAAAGCTAGGAGAGAAGCATGGAAGAGATTCTCCCTCAGTTTTAAGTAGGAGCCAACAACTTTGCTGACACCTTGATTTCAGACCTTCCGACTCCAGAACCATGACAGAATACATTTCTGTTGTTGAAAGCCACCCAATGTGTGGTAATTTGTTACAGCAGCCCTGGGAATCTAATACCTTGATAGAAAAAAATCTTGACTATGCATGAAAAAAATCCTTTCTTAAATAAACACAAAATCGTTTTAAAATGTTGTAATGTAA